ACCACCCGCGGCCGGCGGCAAGAATCAGCCGGGCAGCTCCCCCCAGCCACTGGCAGGTCACATGACCTGTCAGTGGCAGCTCCTGCCAGCCAGTTGAAGATTGAACCCCCACTCCTAACTATTCTAATTACATTTATAAAAATGATGAAGATAAAGGGATAGTTCATCCCAAAATGAAAAATCATGATTGTATTTTTCAATATTCCATGTAGTCACTAAAGATAGAGACTAGATGGAGTCTAGCATGTCAGACTGCAGGACCTGTCAACCACTTAAAGTAATTATGTAAATGTTTTCTTGTTGTTTGCATAGTTGCTGACCCCGTTTACAGTCTTGATTTGCCCACTGACAGGTGTTGTCATGACAGCAAGACTGGAATGTTCAGGCCCGTGTGTCGCTGGTCGATCCATGAGGCTCTGTGTGCTGATTCTGTGCTTGCTGCCTCGCTTTGGCTGGGCAGTCGGTTACAAACAAGGCGATCCGGTGATCCTGTACGTTAACAAAGTTGGTCCGTATCACAACCCCCAGGAAACCTATCACTATTACACCCTGCCAGTCTGTAGACCTAAAGAGGTGAGTGTGCACCGCACTATTCATTCATTGTGCTTGTTTTATGACCTTATGGTGCAATACAAGTCATTATGATATACTATTAGTGCAGATCTATCACCTTGTGGATGATTGACGTGTTTGCAGGTCCGGCATAAAGCCTTGAGTCTGGGAGAGGTGTTGGATGGAGACCGTATGGCTGAGTCTCTTTACAACATCCGTTTCAAGGAAAACACTGAGAGACAGATGCTGTGCAAGCTCACTCTCTCTGAGAAAGAGGTAGCAATGCGATCTTATTCACAAAAATTGCAAATGCGATTTTGTTTAGAGCAAAGATGCTTGGGATTTGATTTTTGCTCATGTGTACATTGTAGTCTGTTTATTAGTGCAGTTGGAATGGGAAACCGTTTGCATTTATGACAGGGATTCTCCATCCTGCTCCAGCTCTGATCAAACATGGCTGAACCAGCTAGTCAAGGTTTTCAGGTTCATTTGAGAATGATAGTGATGGGTGTGTTAGAGGCTTGGAACTAAACTCTGCAAAAAACAGATCTCCTCGGGCAGGATTTAGCACATTTTCATGTCATGAAAGAGGAAACGGCAGAGACTTAGGGGAATGGAATTGTTTCAGATGTGTCATAATTTATACATTTTTGAAACTACAGGTGGATCAGTTGCGAGAGGCGATCGAGGAGCTGTATTACTTCGAGTTTGTCCTAGATGACATTCCCATCTGGGGTTTTGTGGGATACATGGAAGAGAGTGGATTCCTACCTCACAGCCACAAGGTCTTTGTCAGTCACACAAAAAGTGTTTAGACAAAAAAAAAAAAGTTTTTGGCATAAATATATGAATTTCATTACGTTAGAGATGAATATATCAAAACAAGTGGTGTTTTATCAAAAACGTTGTTAGTTTAAAATATTAGATGCATACATTTATGTAGACTGCTGTTCAAAAGTTTGGTGTCGGTAAGATTTTTCTTTCTTTTTGAAAGAAATTATTATTTTTATTCAGCAAGGATGCATTACATTGATGAAAAGTGACAGTAAAGGCATGAATAATGTTACAAAAATGTTCAGTTTCAAATAAATTCTGTTCTTTTGAACTTTCTGTTTATCAAAGGACCTTATGAAAAAATGTACCACGGTTTCCACAGAAATATTAAGCAGCACAACTGTTTTCAACATTGATAATAATAAATCGTATAAAAAGTTTCTCGAGCACCAAATCAGCATATTGGCATGATTTCTGAAGGATTATGTGACACTGAAGACTGGAGTAATAAATAAACATTTTAAGTAAAAATATATAAAAATAGAAAACAGTTATTTTAAACTGTAATAATATTTCACAATATTACTGTTTTACTGTATTACTGCTCTTCGTGAGCATAAGAGACTTTTTTTCAAAAGCAGTAAAAAAAATCTTACCGATCCCAAACTTTGGATGGTAGTGTATATTAGAGATTATAAAATATTAAATATGTACAATAAGAACTTTTTGGGGCTGCTGTATACTGTTTGACTGTTTTGATATTTGCTAATTTATTGAATAAAGCATCATGATTCTCTTTATCCCAGTGTTATTTTAGTATCAATTAGTTACACTTACAGGTTTTGTTAATAGTTTGAGTTAATTTTTATTAATTTATATATTTTATTATATATGTTATTTATTTTAGTATATCAAGTTAAACTACATAAAAATGAGAAATGTTTCCTTGGGATCTAGCTAAATTAAGTTTGATGTTTTTTCAAGTAACAAATAATAATAATTTGTATTTATATGGCTTTCCAACACCCAAGGTCGCTTTACAGAGACAAATAAGGAACAGAGCCAAATAAACATCAGCATCAAAGCACAATACACAAGGGCTGTAAGTAATATACAGAGGTCGCTTACAAAGTTAGGTTAGAGATACAACAACGAGGGATTCAGATAAATAATATATCAAATATTCTAATCAAATATATACACATTTTTTATGGTTTTAGTGAACTACAATAGCCCTGCTTCATTCACTATTTTTGTACAACAGGTGGGGTTGTGGACACACTTGGATTTCAATATAGAGTACAACGGCGACTCTGTGATCTTCGCCAACGTGTCTGTGAAGGACGTGAAGCCAGAGCCATTAGAGGAAGGTGGGGGAGGCCATGGTGTCGGCAGCGGTGGTCTGACGGTCACTCACACCTACAGCGTGCGCTGGTTTGAGAGTACGTTGCCCCATTCGCGCAGGGCAGAGCGCCTTAGAGACTATTCCTTCTTTCCTAAGACTCTGGAAATCCACTGGCTGTCCATCATCAACTCACTAGTGCTGGTGGTGCTGCTGCTGGGCTTCGTCATCATCATCCTCATGAGGGTGCTGAAGAACGACTTTGCCAGGTGAGGATTTTTGATTGGTATTTGTTGGGTTGTGGAATGGCTGAGCAGTGGGGTATGATTTTCCAATAAACTGACGTAATCTGACCTGTGGCCATGAACCATTGCCATGACGATGAGGCAAGACTGCGAGTAGGTGCTGGGCGTGCTTAGCAAATTATCCTAAATGACAGGTTTCTGGATGAACCAAAACTGATTCGGGACTACCCGAGCAAAATTTTTAAAGCTTTGTAAATCTTCCGACTGCAGTTCTCTGCATAAATTCAAGTAGGCGCCCCGTCTTCCCCGTAGCAGCAACCACGGCTTCACCCACAACCTCTTTCATTTTATTCGCCGTCTTTTCAGGTGAAGAATGACATGCAAAGACATTTATAACAGGAACATTTTAATTGGTTACTGGATCATCCATTTTTTTTCTCCCAGTCATACTTACTTGACTTTCTCTTGACACAAAGTTTGTCAGTGTCTGTTGGGGCAGTGTGAACATGTTATTTTTCATAAAATTCTAAATCCAACAGTCAACATGTTTGTCTGTGCGGTGTGAACTGGCTTTAAAACAAACTTAGACCCATGGAAACAATCGCCGATGGGTAACACACTGATCCAACAAACTCTGACAGTCTTGTCTGTTGGTGTTTGCTGACGTTTGTCTGTGTGGTGTGAATTGTCCTTTAAAGTGTTTCTGTTGTTCTCTGAGCAACATGTGCACACAAACAAGTTGCCAGAACATTCTGACATCAAGTATTGAGGTTTAATGTACTGAAGTCTTTAGCTGAGTGAAATGTGCTAAGTTACATTAGTACACTCCTGAGTTAATTTTCAAGCAGTTTTTATTGAACAAGGTAATTGAGTCTCAAGAATTACAGTAATGTAAACAAAGACAGCAGAGAGTAGAGAAGACACTACCGTTTGGTAAAGGTTTTATTTTTATTTTTATTTTTGCATGTGTGTGTGTTTTTAAAAGAAGTTTCTTATGCTCACAAAGACTGCATTTATTGGATTGCAATATTATTATGCAATATTGTGAAATGTTATTATGATTTAAAATGACTATTTTCTATTTGAATACATGTTACAATGTAATTTCTTTCTGTGATGGAAAAGCTACATTTTTAGCAGCCATTACTCCTGTCGTCATATGATTTTTCGGAAATCATTCTAATATGCTGATTTGGTGCTCACAAATCTTTGGCTTCTTCTTTATAAAAATACTAATTTGTTTACATTTTTATTATTATTTTCAAAAAAATTAATTTATTTTTGAAAAATCTTACAGACCCCAAACTTTTGAACTGTTGTGTAACTGTTGCCTTTTATTTTCTGTTAATTTTGTTTAATGTATTATTTTAGAAAGTCAGGTGAAAGCAATGAAATAGACAGACAGTATTTTTTACATTGAATTATCTATATTGGGAAGAGGAAGGATCAGCACCCATTATCCAGAGATCATTAATGAACAACGGTCTGATCAAACACTGTTGTTGTATGTGTGTACAGGTATAATGTAGAGGAAGATGGTGGCTGTGACGACCTGGATCAGGGGGATAACGGATGGAAAATCATCCACACAGATGTCTTTCGCTTCCCACCATATAAGAGCCTCCTGTGTGCTGTATTAGGGGTCGGGGCGCAGTTTCTGACTCTGGTCACAGGTATGGCATACTACATTATAGAAATACACATCAAATATATATATATATATATATATATATATCTATACAG